CTTACATTGCTGGCATTAATCAGATTTTTGATGCCGATATTGATAGGTATGCTTTTTATATAAATATATATGTACTTATATATATAGCAGCACATATCTTGACGATTATATTGGAAAACAAGCTGTTAAAGAACTGAAACGATCTGTTAAACTTAAACTGAATCCTAATAAAAATAACAGTTAAAAGAACCACACTAACAAAGGTTTCTAAATACCTACATATATAATTTGCTGTGTATCTATGGGGTAAACAAAGGAACCTTAAAGACTCCTGGTTAGAAGTAAAAGGATATACAGCCATCTTGTATTGGCCTTGGTGCTTTTAATTTACGTTCAGGACTTGCGTGCTTCTTAACTGATTTCGTAGCAATTAGAATCACAGTGGTAATTTTTTTTCCCCCCACAAAGTGGTAATATTTTTTCCAAAATTAGTGCATGCAAAAGCCTTCTTACTTTTGTTTGTTTTGATTTTTCTTTTTCATGGTCTAGTGTATTTTTGTTTATGTCTTATTTGTCAGGATGAACAAACCTTATTTGGCAATACCGACAGGCGATCTTTCACTAAAACAAGCATGGTTCTTAACGATATTTTCTGCAATTGGGAGCCAGTTGATTTTATGGTTAATGAACGCCAACCTGATCACCACTTGTGCCTTTTCTCTTACTCTCCTATTGGCTAATATGCAACTATGTATTCTGCCCCTCCATTTAGGTTCAAAGGATCTTCTATTGCAACACTTATTTCGGTTCCTTTGGTATTATTACTTTTCTCCAATCCAGAATCATGTAATTAAATTTCATTTTAATTTATTTACATTTTAGGTGGTTGAAAATACAATATCGGTCCTCTAAAAATTTAAAAATGGCATGAAAAATGTAATTAGATATAATTTGAGATCGATTATAATATGTAAGATTTTTTCACGTAAAATTCAGTTTATGATTAGAGGACACTGTATGAGACAAAGGTCAAGTACTTTATTCTAGAAAGCATGAAATTCAGTTTATGTCGTTGTGCTAGCATAAAGAAGAAGAGTATACTTTGTGAAGTTGCTAACTTTTGTTTTCTAGGTTCTAGTTAGGGCATCGTAAATTCTCTCTTCGCCATATACTACACGGTAGAGAAAAATCAGTGGTAATAGATTATTTGAATAACAAAAGCAACTTATGCAGATGAGTACAATTCACCATGCCGGTGTACTCTACGCCGCCACAACTTCCCTTGGACTTCCATTCCAGTGGAGGTACGTGTAACAATTTTTTGTTTTTTTATTTTTACTTTTTCATATCTTGCTCTTTTTCCTTCAAAGGAACATTTGGCATATTATTTAATCTTAATTAATTTATAGCTTAAGTGTTTTTTTTTTCTTATTACAGCTTAAGTTATTAGGAATTATGAGATACAATATTACGTGGTTATTTCAGTTACAGCTCAGTAGTTGTAATTTTTGAGAGAGAATTTTACGTGTAACCATTTGATTGAGTCACAGTTAGCAAATATATATATATATATATAGTAACATCGCGTTTTCGTTGGCGCAGCTAATTGACATTCTATTTAGAATGATATAATTTAAATTCGACGTTTAATCTTCACTATATTTATCTGTTTTTAATTTCATGTAGTAATTTATTCCACATAACTTAATTAGAAAACCATGTTCATTCTCGAGATATTGTTGCTTAGTGATTATATATAAAACTAATGGAGATCCCATATGATGTAGGATTGATAATAAGCGAGATCTATTAATTACAACACTGGCATTTGATGGTCAAAAGGAAATGGTGTCATGGAAAACTTGTGAAGCAACTAAATTATTGTTTAATATTTACGGTATAAAAAAACAAATAATTTATTTGACTATACAATTTTATATCGCTAAAAACATGTACAAGTATTCTCTTCAAACAAATAAAAATAAAAGTAAAATAAAAATAAAAAAACTTGGAAGTATAACTTTTGGTATTTCAATTAATACATATACATTAGTTTAACTCTTTATAGAGATCTGACGTTTCGTTTACAATTTACCCTGCAGCCCCCCAAACGTTTTCATTATCACCTTTGTTGAGTTGTTTTACTTGGTTGCTTGCCTCACAAAAGATATCACAGACATAGAAGGTGACATGAGGTAAGTTTATATATATCATTGCATCTTGTGGACTCAAAATCTTAAAATTTTCTACGTCAGTCACATTTTAATCTTATAAACATGTTTAAGCTGGTATATTTATATGTTTTTAAATTAATATTAAAACATTATAGGTATAACATCCGAACATTTGCGGCGATAATTGGACCTAAATACATTACAATCCTTGGAACGGGAATTTTGATGTTAGCTTACAGTGGTGCTATAGCGGTTGGCATTTACATGCCTCAGGTAATTTTATAATTCTCTGTCATCAAATTGATTACTATATAATGTTTGTTTTGTTACTATATAAGGCAAAACCAAGTTGATAGACATTTAAAACAAAAAAAAGATTTCATCACAATTTTTTCTTCATTTTAATTTCTTTTTTCCTTTACCCGGTCCTTCTTTATGTGAAAACTATGACTAATACATAAGTTCGCTCATTTGATGTTTTCAGGCTTTCAAGCGTTATTTAATGTTGTCTGCTCACTCAATCATGGCCTTATGGTTACTTTTTCAGGTATGCCTTACATAAAATGAAAACAAAAAAGGGATTTTTTTTTTTGTGGTGGAACCCCAATAAATACTCTACCAGTGGAGCACTGTTTGTTTTTTAAACCATTAGATTACTTTTTCAATGGCCACATCTGTAACAAGAGTAATTTTGTGCGGTGCGCTTTAAATTTTTAATACGGACCTGTACTAATTTAACCGTTAAAAAACTAATCCAACAGTTAAAATAGCAGTTCCACCATAAATAATCCCAAAAAAATAAAGTACAAGTAAAAACTCTCTAATTATTATAATTTAACTTCTTTTCTTTGTTTTCTTTCAGGCGAAAAAGTTGAACAAAGCAAATTATGTCAAGGTAAATATTATAAAATGTACACCTTCGACTACTCTACATGTTAATTGATTGAGTGATAAGCTATTGATATTTCGATCATATTTTTTACTTTTATCGTGTGTATGCAGGAAGCAAGCGCAAAGTTTTATCAATTCCTCTGGAACCTTCTTAATTTAGAGTTTCTCTTATTTCCTTTCATGTAACGAAATAGTTGCCAGTTAATTATACGTTTTCCCCTATAGACTAGGGTGGGGTAAGGAATAAATTGAGTTGTGTGTAATATTTTTAAGATATTATCATTTTATTTCTTTTAATTTTGAATAAAGGCATTCAAGACAAATGTTATAATTGTGAGTTTATGTCATCTCTTTTAATTTTGAAAAAAGGCATTCAAGACAAATATTATAATTGTGAGTTTATGTCAATAGTATAGTAGTACCTTAGATAATTAAATTGATTCAATCGTTCACGTAAGATGTATATATTGAAGATATATTTTTATTGCTCGCTTTCGTTTGATATATACACCAGTAAGAGAAGATATATAATTACCAAAAGCAAAACTGCCTTGATAATAATACATAAGCATTGGATTAGATAATTTCCCGACCCCAAAAAGGCATTGTTGCTTCAGAGTATGGTTAAAATTGTTTCAATATGTTAAAAAAGAAAAAAGTTTTTTAATAGAATACATCTTAAGGTATAATAATACAAAGAAATAAATCAAGCAAAATGCGGTATCCAAAAGGGAGAAAAACACTAAAATGTCTGGTTACAATAAAGCTAGAGACAAAGATGAAGTGTTATGGCCCTTTATCTATATATATAAATATGTACATATATACATATATATATTAAAGACTTATAAATGTTCTAAAGCTAGAGACAAAAATGTCTGTTTGTTTTGGTTGAATATCACACATGTATAGATAATTAAAACATGTATAAAAGACAAATATTTTAGCGGGTAATTCAAATGATAAAGTTTATTAGGCAGGACATATAAAAAATAGTAGAAAAGGACACGTGAAAAAATATTTAAATAGCCTAAAAGGGACATATTTAAGAAAAAAAAAAGTGATAGTAACATATTAGGAAAAAAAGGTATCTTGAGAAAACGGTAATTGATTGGGTTGTGTAAAAATGATGTTTAAAAGAGACATACTTGAAAAAAGAATTGTTTTAGTAAGCCAATTAAAAAAACATTTACAAGAATCACTTATGATATAATAAGCATTACATGAAAAAATATAAGTAGGGACACATTCAAATTAATTTATTTAATAGGAACAAGAAAGAAAAAAAAATTCAAAAAAGCACATCAAAAGAGAATTAAAATGTACATGAGTCTTTGACAAAACAAATAATAAAAAATAAAATCAGGATACATTTGAAAGAAATTATTTTAACAGAAATAAAGTGACGAAAAAATTATTTCAAAATGACACATAATAAAAATAAACTGTAAAGGAACTTTAAGTGAAAGGGGGGAAAACCTAAATAGGAAACAAAAAAGTAAAAAGCAAAAAACAAAAAATGGAGAAAATGTGTTGACTGTAATATCCCTAGCGGAATTGGCACAGGAATCTCAACATCTCTTAATAATGGGAAAATACTCATTTATAAAATATAAACAAGAACTTATATAATGAGAATATAAGTAGAACTCGTTGGAACCATGTCAAAAGTGGAATACAAAAGAAAACATCTTAAAATAACTCGATTTGGGCCCGTTTAGTTCGCTGATTCGAGTTTTTAATTCGAATTGAAATGTGACTTTATGTGAGAGCTTTTTACTGTAATAAAAAAATTACATGTGACTATTTTTTTAGAGTTTTTTATTATATTAAAATTCAAATTTTAAATTCTAAGAAACTTAAACAAACTTAAAACAAATGTTCCAAAACTTTTTCCATTCCGTGTTCGCCACCACGAGCACATTCACGCCAAGCCTCCTCTACAATCAAGCTATGTTCTTACCTTTATCTGCAACATACGAAAATCTCATATAAGCAAAACACTTAGGGGTTGTTCTTTTGCATTTTTTAGTTAGAGTGACTTGAGTGATGATCTTGAGTTGAGTTTGAGTTATAACTTGAGTTGAACTTGTAACTTAAGTTTCTGTTTGGATGTGCACATTTTAGTTATGATTTAAATTGAGAATCTATTTGACTTTATGTTTGGGTGGGTCAAAACTTTAATTTGTATTTAGATAATATTTTAATAAATACTCAATAGTGATGAAAAATTTTAATAGGGTATATAGGTACGGTTTTATTCAGTTTTTTGTTGTGAATGCATAGAAAAAAATCATCTCAATCAGACTTAAAACGAAAAAGTTATGACATTTTTAATAATAGAAAAAATATTGTTCATTAACTTGAGTTCGAGTTTATGAACTTGAGTTGAAGGGGAAACTTGGGTCTCGTTCATTTCACCGATTTGAGTTTTCAATTTTAGGTTTCTACAGTAAAAAGCTCTCAGAAAATATCACATCTAACTTTTTCTGCTACAGTGAAAAGCTCTAAAAACATATAACATCTTAGCTCGAATTGAAAACTCGAATCCGCAAAGTGAACGAGGCCTTGAACTCAAGTTTAGCTCTAAACTCGAGTTCAAACTAAAATTTTACAAAAGAACATGTACTTGAATAAAGTTGTAACTCGAGTTTAAACTTTTTCTGAGTTTCGTTACGAAAGAAGAACCCTTAGTAAGTACATACAAAAACATTTTCTCATTCTTTTTAGGTGTAACATTCAACATAACCAAAAATCATAAATCAAAATGAAGAAACCTTACCTTAGATACCGGTCAAAAGGTTAATGACAAAAGTATAGTGCTAACTTATTTGTTTTAGCTTCCAACTACCACTAACGTTTTAGTGGACTAGATTGAGCTTTTGAACATAAATATTAATTTTCTATTGTATGTATGTTCTCCATTTTGAAATGAAATCAAACTTTACTAAACGTTTATTCATCAAATGACTTTAACAAAGTTTTTTTAAAATTTTTTTAATGATGACTTGAAATGATCTATGTATGACTTTAGTCTAAAAAGTAATAATAAAACAAAAATATGTTTTGAATATCATTTAAATTTAAAAAATTTATTTCACTTTCACCACTCATGCACATTTTGAATCCACCATCTATCCCCCACCCCTTACAACATATATAGGCGTCAGGTTTGACTAGGCGGATTATTTGGACATCGAGTAATTGGTTGCTGGACATCTGTTGTAATAATTTGGATTATGCTACAATGACCCAAAGAGAAAAGACCTCCCAATAAGAAATTGGGATGCCTTGCCGCCTCACAATTATTTGTTTCACATAAAGATTCAATCAATGGATTTTCGATCTTCTCAAAAGAAAAGTCGATTAGTTCGATCAACAACACCTCCCCGCATAGCATCAGAACCAAAATCGGGATTTGCATAGTTATGAGGTTCCCAGTATGTTTAACTAACACTAATTGAAGCTAACCGGAAGGCGCTTTCTTACCATGCAACTCTTGGATTGAAAAGAGGTTGCTGGGCTGGAGGAAGGCGTAAAGTAATAGGCATGCAAGAGCTAGTAGGAAAAAGGATAAATTGCGAAAAAAAAATTAAAACTCAAATTACCTCAAATAATTAAGATGATCAAAACTAAAACTTAACATAATTACCTTAAATAATAAATCAACCCGATCAAATGTAATTAATTAAGCTGGATAGGGAGAAAAACATTATAAAAAAAGAGCTGATTAAAGTTTTACTTTTGGGCTGTTTTGTTAGTTCGAGTTTTCAACTTGAGTAGAAAAGTAAATTTATGTGAGAGAAAATACTGAAACACAAAAAGTTAAATTTGAATTTTTTTGTGAGAGAAAACACTATTGTAAAAACTTGAGTTTGATTCGAATTAATAGAACGAACGGAGCCTTTGATTTATAAAAGAACTAATTAATCTGCCTCATGAAATGTAATGAAGCTAGAACCAGTAATACAATATGCATGCTCATGTTTTCTTTTTTGGCGGAAAATTAGGGAATTTGTGAATTTTCTTTTTGTGTCATTCTCCTAAATTAATATATGAAAGAAGAAAGTTAGTACAAAATTTTTTATCTTTATGTCCCATAAATAGACATTCCTCTAAATTTTCTTTAGGTTGTTTTGAGAGCTTGTCTTATTCGTTCTGCTTTTTGAATAATCCATAATCTAATTCGATATCATCAGCGTGTGAAGTAATTGGAAATTGAATTAAAAAATAGAGAAAAAGAAAAGAAAGAAAGATGAGTAAATTTTTCATTGGTAAGAATATTTTATACATTCATAGAAATGAGGGAACATTATGGCCGTGGATAATTTTCATTTTAATTTAGACCCTCACCATCACGGTTCTTTAGTGTACACGAACACGTGAAACATAAAGCTCTAAGAGCTCGGGACGTAGATTGGGTTGCCCATTTTAGCCCCACCTTATCGCTAAAGAATCTCAAAAGCATTCTTTGAGAATTACTTTTTGGCCATAATATCGTTGGACAAGAATGCAACACGACATTTTTGTACTGTGATCTCAAAAGCACTTGATCTCCACCTCTCCAACATGAAATGTTCTCATCACTCTTATTTTCCACACCAATTTCTATCCCCTCCTCCGCGGCTGCATCAGCACCTTCCTGCAACCTCAGTATAAACTCAAGGGCCTTCAACACATCATCCATCTTGGGCCGTCGCTTTCTATCACTTCTCGAGCACCGATCCGCTACTTTTCCATACACCTTCAAACTCTCTGGCGCAATCTGACCCCTCAGATTCTCATCTATGATCTGATCAAGCGTCCCTTTCTTCACATTAAACCGAGCCCATTGGACCAAACTCTGTTGCTCCTCCTCCAGGCCCATATCCACGGCGGGCCTACCACACAACACCTCGAACATCACCACTCCAAACCCATAAACATCAGACTTGGAGGTGAGCTGCTTGGTCCAGAAGTATTCCGGATCCAAGTACCCAAAAGTGCCCTTCACATCCGTGCTGACGTGGCTTCTCGATGGGCTCGCCGGGCCCAATCTCGAAAGCCCAAAGTCCGACACCTTGGCGACCCAATTCTCGTCCAACAGAATGTTGCTCGTCTTCACATCGCGGTGGATTATCATCCCATGCTCCGCGCCTGCATGAAGGTAAACCAATCCACGAGCAGCTCCAATGCAGATCTCTAATCTCTGCTTCCACGTCAGAGGCGGATTATTCGTACCGTACAGATGATCACAGACCGTTCCGTGCGCCATATAATCATAGACGATGATCATGAACCGTTGATCGTTGCAGTAGCCGATCAGAGGGATGAGATTAGGGTTTCGGAGCTTCGAAAGCGTTTCGACTTCAGTCCAGAACTCGCGGAACCCTTGCCTAGACGTTGACTTCAAGACTTTGACGGCGACGGGGCTTTCTTTGCCGTCGATGAAGCCCTTGTAAACTCTTCCGAACCCGCCGTCGCCGATTTTAAGGTCCGTATCGAAGTTGTTCGTGGCGGTTCTTATTTCATTGAGAGTGAAACGACGACAATATAAAACTTTTTGCTCTTCATCTGATTGAATAGTTCTGCGCCTTCTGAAGAAAATAGTGCAGCCCAGAAGAATTAGGATGGTTAAAGACGATAATGAAGCAACAGCAACGGCTGTAACGACATGTTTGGTGCTGCAGTTTGGTCTCTTGGGAGAAAATTCTTTGCTTGTTGTTATAGAGAGATTTGCTTTGGAGTTACTGAGTTTAAATAACTGTTCCAAAGTTGAGTTTCCGGAGACTTTGATTAATGTTAAAGAACAGAGGAAAATGAAGATGAAAAGATGATGAGGATGGAGTATAGGTGAGTTTTTCATCTTGTTGAATACCAATTGGTCAGATTGTAGGACGAGTAAATTATAAGGATTTAGATGAGAATAAAAACTAGGGCATACATGAGAGTGTTGTGCGTGTACTGGACGTGTGAGGGAGTGAGAGGAGACAGACGAAAGATAGAAGTTGATGCCTTTTAGATTAATTATTCACGTGCCCAAGACCCAGGGAGAAGACTCACTCAATTATTGGACTTGTGAGTTCTTAATTGTAGGACGAGTAAATTATAAGGATTTAGATGAGAATAAAAACTAGGGCATACATGAGAGTGTTGTGCGTGTACTGGACGTGTGAGGGAGTGAGAGGAGACAGACGAAAGATAGAAGTTGATGCCTTTTAGATTAATTATTCACGTGCCCAAGACCCAGGGAGAAGACTCACTCAATTATTGGACTTGTGAGTTCTTACATGG